AGGAGTTTTACAATGCCGATATGCAGAAAATCTTGAAAAAAACATGATGTTAATCACTATTCCACGTATTCGACGTTGAAGGCGTCAGTGGTCGAGCAGTTCAATCGTACGCTCAAGAACGACATATGGAAGATGTTTACGCTCAACGGCAATTACAAGTAGGTTGACGAGCTGCCGCGTCTCGTGTCAAATTACAACGCGCGCAAGCATCGCACTATCGGCATCATGCTACTCGCCGACGTGACTCCCGCGATCGCTGAAAGACTCTTGGATACGGTGTACAGCGCGGTAAAAATCGCAGGTCCAGCGAAATTCAAAGTAGGCGATTTGGTATGCGTGAGCAAGTACAAGACGATTTTTGAGAAGGGTTACACGCCAAATTGGACTACTGAGGTGTTTACAATCGTTAAAGTACAGCGTAATTTCATATCTACCTATCTACTCGAGGACTATCGCGGAAAATTCGTCGCTGGAGCGTTCTACGAACACGAGTTGCATCGCGCTACTCATCCGGACGTGTATCGCATGTAGGAAGTACTGCGCAGGAAAGGAGACAAGGTGTACGTCAAGTGGTTGGGATTCGATGGATCGCACAATTCGTGGATACAAAAAAACAATGTCGTTTGAAAAAATTTTAATTCATATACTTTGTATACATATAACAAATATATCAATAAATATATAAACGTATAAAACATTTTTATTAACCCTTCCATCTTCATTTTTTTTTGGAGTATGCATATATACAATGAAATACGTGTATATAAATGTATGAATACATTTAGTGTAAATTATATAATGATAGTGATACATATATAATACATATATAAATGTACAAAGGTACAATATTAAAAAATACATTCCCAATAAACACTCCACAGTGTAAATATGGTGTAATATACGTACCCCAATAGTTTAGCATTGGTATAGAGAATAATAGTAAACGATTATTATACCGTATAACAGTATAGGTTAAATATATTGTAATAAATATACGTTATTTAAACGTTTTCAATGTACCTTATATTTACTCAAGGATATAAATATGATATAAATAAGTTATGTGATATGCGTATGACAATATACATTAAAAAATTGTCATAAATATACATTTTTTGAACGTTTTTAATAAACCTTATTTATGTTATGAATACTCAGTGGTATTAATATACTATAAATGTAATATATGATATATCTATAACAATATACATTAAAAAACTGTAATATATACATCTTTTGAATGTTTTTAGTAAACTTAATTGACGTTATTAAACATTCAGTAGTATTAATATGATATAGATATGGTGTATGATATACGTATAATATAATACATTTAAAAAATTGTAATAAATATACACATCTTTTAAACGTTTTTAATAAACCTAATTTATGTAGTGAACACTCAGTGATATAAATAACATATAAATATAGTCTACGATATACGTATAACAATATACATTTAAAATTGTAATAAATATACTTTTGAATGTTTTTAATAAACCTAATTTACGTAATAAACACTCAATGCTGTAAGTATAGTATTTAATATACTCAATAAATACTCACTGGTATAAATATGATGTAATATACGTACCAATGGTCTAGAATTGGTATAGATAAAAGTAATGAACGATTATTATACTATATAACAGTATACAGTTAAATATTGTAATAAATAGATATACAAACGCTTTCAATATATTATACTATATATACATTTAATGGGTACAAATAAAGTGTAAATATAGTATACTCGTATGATATACGTATAAAATATGCATTTAAAATATCGAAATAAATATACATTTTTTAACCGATTTTAATAAACCTAATTTACATAATAAACACTCAATAGTGTAATATATGTATCGAAAATTCAGAATTGGTATAGGGTATAGGTAAAAATAATAAATGATTATTATATCGTACAACGGTATACGTTAAAAAACTTTAATGAACATATATTTCTTAACACACACACACACACACACACACACACACACACACACACACACACACACACACACACACACACAC